GCGAAGTCCTTTGGGAAAACTTTTTTGATTTTATCGCTCAGTTAACTTAAGCTAGCATTACCATTTATAATACTTTAATATAAATAAACACATTTCATTCGATGATTTTTTTTTTCTTCAAACGCATTCCATTACTTGCGCTACATTCCAAAGTGATCACCTCACTTTTGATCACTGCGCACCACAAGTAATATAAATTAAAAAAAGTTATCATTTGTGGCACTCTGTGCGGCAATATTTGGCTTTGTAGGTGCATAACCTCAAACCACAATTCTTAAAACATTTTCCAAGTCTATTCAACATTTTTTCTCTACTCCAAACGAATTTTTACTGCTCATTTTGTGTAGAGATGACTTAGAGTAGGCATTGACTTGTGGAAATCTTGAACAATACACACAAGAATATTTGCAGGTGAATGCCAATGTGCTGTGTTGGACAATATAAATGTCACATTTCCACAAAATCACGCGTTCATGCTAACTTAAGCCAAGTCAATTCCCATAATTGCCATGAAGAACAAAAAACTTAAGTTAAACTCTCATACATTTGGAAAGTTGTTCAATAAAACTGAGTTTGGCCACAAGAAAATTATTTTTTTGTGAAATGCTTATAACTCTTCTTTTTATCTTTACCGCTATGGTCAATATGTAGGTTTGTATGTGTGGCTTTCATTGTATAATTTAAATGTCTTTTAAGGCCATGTAATAAGCGTGGAAATGAAAAAGGTTGTAGCCTTCGTAACCGATAATTATAATTATGACGATTAGCGCAGAAATAGAAAGTCTTAATCAGTAGAGTTAAACAAAAATGGTTCGCTGTACAATATTTGTTGGTCATTTCGATAAATGTTTCTATGATACTTAAATATTAAGCAACAAAAAATTAAAACAAAAAAACGATCAACAGAAAATGAAAATATTTTGCTTGACAGGTTATTAACTCGATGACAGCTGGTAAGCAGTAAATGTCATTGCCCTTCGTTGCAGAATACAACTCGTTACCAGAAGAGCAACTAGTTGTATGGTCAGCAATAGAAATATATTTACGTATATGAAAATACGAGTGCAATTTATTCGGCTAACTAAAGTGCTATGGAAACGAGTAAAAAAAAAACCATATATCCTATGCACGTATGTATGTATGTAAATGGAATCTGCAGCATGAGGCACTGTTTACATTTCAATCAAGTTGAAAAACTTGTATATTAGAAGTAAGTGATGTAGCAGAAGAGACGAAGAAGAAGAAGAAGAAGTAAATTATTATTGAAAAAAATAAAATAAAAAATAAAAATAAAACTGAAAATCAAATACCGTTATGAGTCGCACCGTGGGCAGTAAGATGAAAGTGCCGGGTGTTGGCGAGAGTGATTCACACGGTAGGCCATTAAGTCATATGTATGTATATATATAAACATATACGTACTTTGTATATTTGTGGCAGCATGTGCCGTTTTTATGTATGTATTAAGCAACTAAATCATATCGACACGGACACCGCTAACGACTTTGCATGCTTTACATGCTTCACACATATACATACAGCAATATAGTGTTTGTATGTTTATGCCGCCATTTCTTGGGCCAATGTAATAGCTAACTTGATTTTCTACATCATTAAGACAAAGGCAAAGGCTGTGCTGGGCTGAGCTGGTTTGGTTATAAAAAGAATTGAATAATAGAATTTCGCTTTCATTTTTCCCCCCGAGACAGTAGTTAAATACAATTTCTAATTACAACAAAAAGATTTAAATAAAACTTCAAACAAATTTAGCAGTTAATAAGATTTTCCCTTTATTATTGTACTAAGCATGTACAGGTGAGAGAAAATGGAAGATTAAACAAAAAAGACAAGAAATATAAATCGAAAATAAAAGCAGAAATAATGAATAGTTTTAGCTGGCTACTCGCTGTGCGCTGCCGAGAAGAAAAGAAAGTTTGTCACTTGAGTCTTTCGTTTTGTACATTTGCCCAGACCGCATGCTACACTCCGATCACTTGTGTCGGTGCAACTGTGCGTGGTCAAACATACAGATGTACAAACATATGTATGACAATTATCGTATCATTTGCATTCTATAAACAATGTAACTAGGTTTATAGAGGTTAGTGGAACGGCATGCAGCAAATATTTACTGTCGCCTCACAAATTGATTGAATTGTCTCGTTACCTGTGCATATATAACGCTTTAATTTTTCTATTTGCACTTGATTTTATTGGAAGAAAAAATACTAAGTGCATAGCTGACGCAGTATTTGTGAATTATTGATAAAAAAAATAATAAAGAAAATATTTTTTATTATACGCTTATTTTAAAAAGCGGCAACAATTTTGATTTCTCTCGCTTTTAAGCCCACAAAAGGGTATGCAATCAGGTGTAGTCATCGGTGGCACGTCAAACAAATTTATAAAAATAAACACGTATTTGTGAAAAGTACATTTCTTTTCGCATAAATTCGTAATTAACAACTTCTAAAAGAGGAAATATATAGTGAAAGTGAATAAGCTTATACATAAATACGTATGTATAGTATATGTATACATATGACTTGTATACTTGCTAGCTTGCTAACTTGCTTTGACCTATAAACATTAAAGAAGTTTCAAATTGATTGCCATATATAATCAAAAAATCGCAAAACAAGTCCACTCTCTTCAGTTTTGTAGATACACATACAAGCGCACGAACACAAGTGTATGCTTATATGCAAGAGTGAGTATGTGTTGGTATGTATGGAAATAAAATTCGCGTTTTAACTTTCACACCAACTATTTTTTTAGACAATGAAATCACTAAAGAAAAATAAAACTCAATTGAATTTTAATAAAAAAACGAACTGCAATAAAACTAAAAATAAATAAATTAATGTATAAATAAGTACATGTATGTATGTATGTAGCAGTATAATTTATGCATATTGTAACCAATAACAACTGCAGAATAGCAAAAAATGAAAGAAATGAAGGCAAAAACAGTTAGCAAATGAAAGTGAATTTACAAATGACTTAGGGAATTTCTTTCAACAGTCGAAGAAGTCAAAATACTCATTATGATTTGTAATTTTAATTGACATTTGGTCATGCTTACAAGTAAAAAGTGGAATATTGCTGGTAATTAACGTTTATGATATTCATAATAACATAAAAGTTGGCTGGACTTAGCTGGCTATCCATTACAGGGAAATTAATAGCGTTTTTTGCTCGATACTGCATGTTTTAAATTTATAAATGCAAAAAATAAAAAACAAGAAAGTAATAAATCTTCAATTGAGAAAAAACGCGCGAATTTTATTTTGTATATTTGAGCGCATTTTTTTTGCTAAGTTGGCAACGCGGTAATTTTACTTTTTGTACTCGTCATTACCAGCACTAGCTTGTAACGAACTGGAAAATAACGGCTTAACTCGTTTGTTGTTTCATTGTAGCAAAAGAATTTTACAAAATAATCGCAAATATTGTATAATATAGAACATTAATGTTAGAGTTACAAAAGGAAAAGATTCGTTAGAATATTTAAGATATTCAGAAACTGCTCATTGAGTCACAATTTGTAATTTATCAAATATACGTGTATCAATACTGCAACAAAGCTGACGGGCCATTTGTTAAAACCTTGAATATAAAATGAAATTTTCTTATACTATATTTTTTAAAAATCTTCAGAAGTTATTTTTAAAATTCCTTAACTTACTAATTTTAAGCTTTCAACGAGCAGACTAAAAAGTACTTTTAATCATAAAAAATAAGTAGTATTCCAAGTTAAAAGTAATATGGAATCACCAGAAAGTAGATTTTTACATTAACGAGTGCCGTTTGAACACTTTTTTTTTACCAAAATTATGTAAAATAGAGAGGAACATTACATGTTTTATAAAGAATGGTTTCTAGCAACACTGTTTTTGACAGTTTACGTGGGTTTCCAGTGAACTTTTTATAAGTTCTCTGTTGTTTCGTGCCTTATGCCACTGGCGAAAATTATCAATTTAATTTGCCCCCTGTGAAATTTGGCAGAATTCCTTGGATGTGAAACCATTCTATTCAGCAGTGTAGCTCATTTTTGGCTAAATGGATATTTGAACAATCAAATTTACCTCATTTGGGTCGAAGAGCAACCAGAGAAAGTCGGCAAAGACCGGAACGCTACTGTGAACGGCGAGCGCTACCGTGCGATTATTACAACATGCAAACCATTGGCCCCGCTTTGAAACGAGTACCGTGAATTGTGTTCGATGCTGATGAATCGGCCGCATTGAAAGCCAATACTGAAGAATTTATTCATGAGATTCCGGCCGTTATGTTTAAGAAAGTATACCACACTAATATTGTACTCTACGTTTAGACCATTAACAGCCCAGCCGCGGTCAACATTTACATAAAACAATCTTTGGGGAAAACTTTAGTATAGAGCCTGTGGTTTATCCCTATGAAATGGCAGGGTTGGTAGTAGGAGGTCTACAATTACCAGTTTAATGTTGAATGTTTATAATTTTTAAAATAAATATTTTTGGTAAACCTGAACATTTCATAAAAAAAAACACGGGCTTCAAACTAAAGTCATCCCCAATTTTTAAACATTAAATATATAACGAAATAACTTTTTTTTAAATCAAATTCGAAAACTTAAAGAAATCACTTTTAGAACCGAGTCTACATTACTCGTCGTACAAATAGTAGCTAACACCTGTTTTAGTTTCTCAGTAGGCAAATACAAAGAACAAGAATTAGAGACAGGGATGCCAAATGAATCAAGATTAGGCGGAATAAACGTGACTCGCTTGCCTTGCAAACATTAGTTTTTTCATTTTTTGTACGTATTTAAATTATCTATCATTCTTGAGCTATACTCTTATATTAGTAATTGTTGCCTACATTTAGGATGATAGTTAAATTTCCCTTAATTTTTAAGCATCTTCTATTTACACAATTTTCGCTCGGAGGAATACAAAAATTTTCCCTTTTTAATACAGATATCTAAGTATTTAATCAAATTTATCATATTTCAGATAACATTGGCCCTAGTTATTATTGCTTTAACCATGCAAATGACGAATGCGTCGCTTTGGTCTAGCTACGATAGTGAAAAGGCCGAAAAATGTAGCGGCGGCGTGGGCTTGAAATATTTATCTGGCGATGCACTTACTGATTCACCAGATTGCTTGGGGCCCAATAATTCACCTTATCCCAGGTAAGATGTTCAACAATTATTTAAAATTTATAATAAATTTAATAAATAAAAAATTGTCATTAAGCAATTTCTTTTGTTATTTTGTTATTATAACTACTTCCGTTTTTTAATAGTATCATTATTTAGTAGTTATTCATTCATTTTTTAATCTCTTTCCCTCAACAGTGCGGCCGTTGCACGAACCTTCGCCAATTGGAACGGTAATGCCAGACGCGGACGTCAAAGTAAGTTCCCTTCAACTCTGGACCCGGCGATAACAAAGAGTGCCTTACTACGTGCTTATGATGAAGTGAATAATGATCTACCAGCAAACAGTCGCTTTGGTGAGTGCGAATTTATACGATTTGAAAAAAAACGATTCTTATACTTTTTAAATTTATACAGGACGTTCATTGTCGAATGCACCGATCGGACAATGCAGAGAAACCCCGTCTCGCCTGTGTAAAACTCGTTATAATACCACCGCACCTATGTACGGCGTTAGTTTGACATCTGGACAACCGGTTACTATTGTGCAAAAGTTCCCCGATCTCTTACAACAAGTTGTATTCGAGGTTTGCGAGTAAGTCTGATTCATTCTGTCAAATGTTTGGAGTTTGAAATGGCACAAAAACACTTTTTATATAAGTTCTGAACTAAATATATACATTCTTAAATATACATACATATGTATATGTCATTTTTAAATTAATGTCTAAGCCTTTCGTTAAATTCATTTAAATTTTTAATTATATAAACTTTAGATCTGGCGAATGTGATGTTGTCCGCGGTGAATGTACTCAGACTTACGTGCCGTACCTGTTTCTTGTCATACCCTTGGGCCCCGTTACACTGACTGGTCAGGATTATGTGTTGGTTGAGAGCGGTTGCGTTTGTAAACCGAAATATTCAACGGGGGCAGCGCAAGAGCCAAATATGATACCGTAGTTATATGCCACAGCCAAATAAAAAAAAATATTAATCTCTAAAATCTGATATACTGATACTTACAAATTTACATATAAAATAAAAAATAATTAGAAATGGACATTTGTAGGCATAAATAATGTGAAAAGAAATCTGAAACGAATTTTAGTGTTATGAAAATATTTTAATTTATTACACATACATACGTTTTAGTTGTATATTTAGTCACATTTGTACATATGGTATTTCGAAAATTAAATTCACAGAGTTTTGCATATACATAAGTACGTTTATACACAAATGTATGCATAAAAAGTAATAAAAACTTAAATTATATTATATTTGCTACGAATGCCCATTTCTACTAACAAATAACAAACAATGATTCAATAAATTTTCTTTGTTGAAAACTTGCAATTGTTTATATTATAGTTAGTTGTTAAATATTTTATATAATATATATAATTTGTATATTCATACATTTATGATTACATACATATGCACGAGTATGTATACATTGATTTATGTTTATAAATACAAATATAATATGAAATTAGAACGAAAGCGTTAAGCAAAATTTTGCAATTAAAAATTCATTCAATTTAAGAAAATATTATATTAAATGTTTAATTTATAAGTTTTAAAATGGTTTTTGTTTCTGGCGTTAATTATATGTATGTATGTCTTCCTGTAACAGTATATCAGAAAAAATATACACACAAATAAATAATTTAAGGATTCACTATTTATTGTTTACTTATATAATTCATAACATAATTACTTTAAGTTAATATTATATTTACTAAAGTATATTAAACAATACAAGACTCGATTGCGAGCTATGTATACGAAAAGAAAATTCTTATTTACATAAAAAGGTGAGTGTACACTTGCGTATCCTGCATTTGTGTATGCGTAGTTCTTGCAATTAAAGTATACAATTATAATGAATGTATGTAGTTTAAAGATGAAGCTGTTGCAATTACGCACCTGAATACTTGTAATAATACATTATTTAATAAACGAACAATTAAACTACTTTAATAAATAAATTTATTTTATTTGTGTACTAGAGCTCCAGATACCCGGATACCGAGCACTGTGAGCAGTTCGATATTACTTCGATACTCGTTCGTTGCTCAACTCGTCAAATGATAGTTTGAAATTTTTCAAATTTAAAGTTTGTTTGTCAAAATTTCATCAAAATTTCAATGAGTTTTACACTTTGCATAAATGAAATTCTAATTATAGAACGGTGTTCTGGGGAGGAAGTCACAGTTTTTATGTGAAATGCTCGAATATTCTCGGAAAAGCTCGAAAATATTCGAGTAATGAGCGATGAACGGGTGTGCGAACACTGGGAACACTGGTTAAAAATCTTGTACTCTAATGTATACACCAAGTTTAACCATAGGACTTCTCTTAAATTGGTAGTGCGAGTACTTAATCATAGGATTTGTTGGTTTCTGTCACAAAATGGTATTCATGACGCTTTGTTTTTATTTATGTATGTACTGTTTAATTTAGAAAAATATACCTCAGACCTGCTTGCAGCGTAATTAATTAATTTCCTATATATTTGTAGGTGCATTATGGCATTCGTTTTCCAATATACATAACATCCACTAATATTTCTTTATCGTATTTTTATTTTCACAAAACTGATCAACATCGGTACGAGCATTTTATTTACAACTGAGCAGTAAATAATAATAATAATTTTCTGATGAATACGAATTATTCAGCTTGAATTACATTAAAACTTCCTGTTCCTGTTCAATTTTGACGTTTCTTAACACATCCAGCTTTACAGGGTTGCTCAGAATTAGAATGCGTGGCTTATTTTTCCAAATAAAATTTTCGTAATTATTTTTGAGTCATGATTATTTACTCCTTAAAAAGTATATTTTTTCTTTCTACATTTTTTACAGCATCATTACATTAAAACTTCCTGTTCCTGTTCGATTTTGACGTTTCTTAACACATCCAGCTTTACAGGGTTGCTCAGAATTAGAATGCGTGGCTTATTTTTCCAAATAAAATTTTCGTAATTATTTTTGTGTCATGATTATTTACTCCTTAAAAAGTTTTTTTTTCTTTCTACATTTTTTACAGCATGACCAAACTTAATAAAAAACAAAACTTCAAAATTTTCATTGTGATTTTATTTCCTGAAATTTCTCCTTTGTCTTTTTCTTTTCTTACAATAATATGGCAACGCTTATTTCGTTGAATTTTTCGTTGCGTCGTCTCCATTTTGCAGTGCAGCAGGCCGCATTGAAAAAATTTTATTGTGCGAAAAAACATTATAGTTGATATAATGAAATAGAAATATGTGAAATTTTATCATTCAAGTTGTTAAAATATTTCAGCAAAGTTCATAATACAGAATTTGCAAGGTTTGAGGTTAATTTGTGTATTTGAAAAGCAAATGTGGTTTTACTTACCCCCGCCTCTTATCTTTTTCTGTTCTTAACGCTGTATTTTACGCTTGCCGCCGTGTGCGTATCTGAAGCCCCAGTTGCCGGGCGCAACTTCCGTGAAGCAGAAATAGCTAATTGAGGGCCTAATTAAGAACAAGGTATATAATTGCAGTAAGTGAGTTAAGTCCATCGTTAAAGGAAATTGTTTAAAATTTGTCATGTTGAGAGGGTGTTTGTTGGTGGATATCTAATAAATTGTAAGAATACACTCGGAACTGCTGAACGAAAAAAAAATACACAGCTCCAAAATGATGTTCACGGTAAGTAGTGCACTTAATTATTATAAAGAAAATACTTAAGTAAACTAATATTTTTTTTTTTATAAATAAAGTAATAATAAAAAAATTCCTAGCTTCTGGAAAATATTCTTTTACCTCCCAACAACATATTTAGTTATGGAAAAAAGAGGATGAAAGCTGATATAGTTTTTTTTCGTTAAAAAATGTTATCTGCAAATGACAGTATATTGTTGTTAAAAACACAAATTTTATAAACATATGTATAATTTAATGCGTTGTGACGTATGTTAAAATTATATTTTTTGTTAAGATTTTATGACAAGTTTGGTAATAATGTTTATTTACAGGGCACTACTCAGCAGCAGGACACTCGCTTCAGCGACAAAGAGAAAAAATTAATGAAGCAAATGAAATTCGGCGATTGCCTAAATAAGCGTGTGGATATGTCTAAGGTGAAATTGGATGTATTGCGTCCATGGATCAGCAAAAAAATCACGGATATTTTACACATTGAAGACGATGTCGTCGTCGAATTTGTCTACAACCAATTGGAGGAAGAAAAGTTCCCGTGTCCAAAAAAAATGCAAATTAATATGACTGGCTTTTTAAATGGGAAAAATGCGCGACAGTTTATGGGTGAATTATGGTCATTGTTACTGTCAGCTCAAGAAAGTGAAAGTGGAATACCAGCCGAGTTTATTCAGCAAAAGAAAGACGAGATACTTAAGAGAGAAGAGCAACAACGTCAAAATGATCGCTCCCGTTCACGCGATAGGGATAGAGAAAGAGATCGTGATAGGGATAGGGATAATGAACGTGATCGAGATCGTGACAGTCGGCGCAGTGGTAGAGATCGTTCCAATGATGGCCAACGTGATGATATGATGAGTCAACGTGAGCAGCAGTTGCCGCCAAGCACATTACAAGCGATCGAGCAGGTTAGGTCACAATTATCAGCTAAATCTAGATCGAATTCGGCTGAAGAAACTAATTTAGGTAACATTTCCCAAAGCAAGCATATTGAGGGGGGTAGTGCAGCTAGTGCGAGTGCTGCGGCAGCAGCAGCAGCTGCAGCTATACTACGCGATCGTTCCAGGTCACCAAATGCTAACTCTAGAACAGCAGCTGCAGAAGCGGCAGCATCGAAAATACGTAATCGATCACCGCGTAAACGCTCCAGAGAGAGATCAACAACACGAAAATCTTCACATGAACGTAACTCTTCGCCGCAACGACGTCGAAATTCACCGAGAGATAGACGTCGATCCTCACGATCACCAAGGCGAAGATCACCTGGCGGAGACCGACGTCGTCGACGTAGTACTCGTAGTCGTACCAGAGATCGTAGTGTAAGACGAGCTGCAAGTAAGAAACGTCAGATATCACGCTCACTTTCACCTCAAAAACGTCAAAGTCCAAAACCAAGAGGTCGCCGTTCCAAAGACAGACGGTCAAGATCAAGATCACGTTCACGTTCAAAGTCGCCAGCAAAGCGCAAGCCATCACCAGCGCCAAACCGAAATTCAAAAACAGCAAATTCGTCACCCTATCGTAAGCGTTCAGCTTCACGACACTCCAATCCAAATACACCAGTTAATGGACATGAAGACGGGGGTAATGCTAAAAAGCGTGATGGAAGAAAACGTTCGCCGTCTCCAAATCCTAGTGAAAGCTCCCGTGCATCACCTGCAGAAATTAGAGCAGCAGCTCGTATACAATCCAAAGGCCGTTCTCGTTCAAGGTGAATTTTATACAAATATAAGAACTGTAGTATAAAGAAAGAATTTATTTTGAACCCGTAAGCACTTGTTTATTAAAACATTGTAAGTATTATTGTAGCGTGGTACAAGGTTTAGTGAAAAAAGGGAGCTGCAAGGTAAACAACGCTATCCCGACATCAGAATCTTAGCCTGCAACTTGCTTACATATGTATATCTAGTTAACAATTTTATAGAAATTCGAAAAGGAATATTTTACATATTTATAAAACTGTTATTGTTAAACTTCAATAAAAATATAAAATGAATTGTGTGATTTCTAAAACGTAAGTATACATAAGAACAATTTCCAAAAAATTATGGGTCGAATCATAATGTTTTCAAATTTTATTGTTTTCAAGTTTTGTATATATGTGCATAGTTAATTTCTATGCTAACATAATAATAATAATAATAATAATAATAATGTTGTATTTTGAACAGATCTGCAAGCAAAAGATCGGTAAGGGGCGCTGCTTCTTCACGGTCACGTTCAAGGTCATCATCACGATCATCCAGAGCATCAGTACGCTCAAATAAAAAAGTTATAAGACGTTCAAGCTCTCGAAATACGAGTCTTTCCCCGTCACCTGAACGTAAAGAGGATTTTGAAATACGCCGTAATAAGAATAGTGTACAAAAGAAGCGACATTATCGACACAATCGTGATTCTTCTGCAAGTTCCATCGACAGAGATCGCGATCGTGAACGAGACGGTGGCCGTAGAATGATGGGTGATAACAGGGGTAGGCGAGGAGACATGCCTGGCAGACGATTCTCGCCACACAATCGTAGTCCGCGTATTGATGGAGGCGGTGGTCGCAATCAACGCTCACGATCTCGGCGTCGTTCAAAATCTCGTAACCGTTCCAGGTCCCGCAATCGATCTCGTTCACCAATGCGACGCTCCCGTTCTCCGCGACGGTAGGTGGTTTTTTGTAATAGTTTGTAGCGGATCTTAGAATAACTTTTTTTTTCTAATATAAATAATATCAACTCTTGAATTCGAAGAAGAAAATTTATTTTGCTTTAGAAAATGTGTATTATTTTAGTATATATTATGTTTTATATTCTTTCAGTTTCAATCGCCGTCGTTCGCCGATGATGCATTTCCGCGGACGAGGTGGTGGAAATAATCGCGGTCGCATGAACTTCTGGCGTCGCAGTCCTAGCTGGAATCGTGGCGGCGGAGGCGGTGGTGGAGGCGGACGCTTTGACCGACGTTTCTCACCTCAACGCAGATTCTCGCGTGAGCGCGATCGTCGCATGTCTCCAATGCAAAACCAATTTCGTAAATTTTCACCTCAAAGGCGATTCTCGCCACCACAAAATATGCAGTACCAAAGACGGTCCAGAGAACGGCGATTTAGCCCGGGTCCACGAGATCGTCGACCATCCTCGCCGATACGTGACAACTCTCGTGATCGCGGTGGTGGCGGTAACAATTTCAATCGGTGGGATCAAAACAATCGTAATGTTCCAAAGCCCAAATCTAGATCTTCAAGTTCGAATTGGGAATTGGACGATGAACAGGCTCCCCAAGGAGTTGCACGCAAGTCCAGCGTAGCTAAAGAAACTAGTCCAATTAAAAACAACGGTGACCGTTCACGCAGTGTTCGACGCTCACGAGATAGAAGCGATCGTGATTCTAGCCAGTCGTCTGAAAAAATTCCAAAAGCTCGTGAAAGTTCGGGTAAGGCACCGGATCGAATAGAAAATGTCAAATGTAAATCTTATTTCATATTTTTTTTTTTTTTTCTGTAATTTCAGGACGTCGTTCATCTGTTGAATATACAGGTCCTTCGGTGAAAACTATTGACCTATCCAAAGAGGAACGTAGTGAATATCGCAAATCTAAGGCAGAATCTGCTCAAAGAGAATCAATCCAAGTCAAAAAACAGGCACCCCCAGCAGTTGCCCCCACTGCTGCTCTAACCATACGCAATGAGAAATTACGTGCTAGGTACAGCTCGAGTTTGTCTCGCACACCGTCACCGTTTTTGAAGCCTCACGAGCGCGAAAAACTGCAGGCGAACTCTGGAAAGAAGCCGCAAGAGAAGAAACCTCAAAAAAGCCATAAAGAAAGTTATTCATCCTCTTCGGATAGTTCTGGCGACAGTGATGACAGTGAAGATGAGGAAGAACGTGATGCGATAGAAAAGGCTAAAGAGTCGAAGATGAAGAGTAGAGAATTAAATACAAAATCGAAGAGGCGCAAGTCTGTAACAAGTGAAGACGAATCCGATGATGATAGTGAGGATGAAAAAACCAAGAAAAAGTCGAATTCAAAAGGTTCGAACAAGGGTCTGGCAGGCATAGATCTATCTGCAAGTGCCAAGGCAGGGCGTAAAGAAAGAGTCACATCCGCTGAAGAGATTCGAGAAGAGAAAAATGAACTACCAGGTATTCGCGCAAAAGGCAAACTACTTAATGATTTACCAGAAGTAACGGTTCAAAGTAGCTCGAAGGGACATAAGAAATTACCTGAGAAAAATCCAATAAGAGACAATGATTCTTCCAATTCAAGCGATGATTCGGACAAAGAAGATTCAGAAAGTAAATTAACTGAAACTAAATCGAAACAAGCAGCTTCCCGCAAGCGAACAGCGTCTGTTTCAGGTTTGAAAAAGTCAAAACGCGTATCCTCAGACTCCGATGATGAACAAGTTTCAAAGAAGAAACGTAAGAAGGCAAAGAAAACATCCAAACGAAACTCAGATGATGATAGCTCTTCGGATTCTGAGGCTGAGGCATCATCGAAGAAGAAAAAGCATAAGAAGCATAAAAAACACAGCAAGAAGAGTAAGAAACACAAAAAACACAAGAGGAAGAACAAAAAAGCTGACAGCTCCTCAAGCAGCGACGAAGAAGAAGAAATTCGGGAACGCGTCGGCAAGGCCACATCAGCGTCCTTACTGCTCGGTGGAGTTAACGAGGATTTAGAGAAACAGTTGCGTGAAAGGGCTTTGAAATCGATGAAGAAGAATGAGTAAAGGCATGTAAGAATGAATGAATTACCATTTATAGACAAACAGACAGACATGTGCCGTAATGACTGGATACATAACTGTATGATGCTCCACATTTCATCAATTTTAATTTTTTTACGAGCTCCACAAAATAATTTAGTTTTTAATCCATACAACATTAGTACTGAACATATTTAGTTGGATTGCGCCAGAGATTCCCCGCTTCTGCGATCCCGGATAATCTTATTGTTCCAATTTTCAATGCAATCGCAATTCATCATGGAACAACTATGTAGTTGTTTACAAAATATAATATTTATCATCGCATGCTAAGGAATTTGTAACATACATACATACATACTTATATAAATATATTTAATTTTGTTGTAGCAGCAAAAATGAGCAATTCAAACAGATTTGGGTGTCCTTCCTGAGCAGAGAGTTACATAGTATAACACCAGGATATTTGAATGCTATAAAAATAAAAATAAAAACGTTTAATTTGAGTGTTGTCAACACATTCTTGATTGATTTGAAATTTAGGTTCTATTATTTAAGTAGATATTATATTATATAATGCATTCATGTTTGTCAACTTAAAGAAACAAACAAATAAAGGTAACTACTACAGAAAGACTATTCTTTGCTAATGCGGGTGAAATATGTAGACGTTCCTTAATTGAGTTGGTTCCCTGCGACTGTGACTGAAAAAAATGAACGCAAATTTGACGTTCAATTTTTGGGAGGAGAAAAGAACGACTCTGTTGTAGAGTACTGTTGTTGTATCCGCTAATTTGGTTTTCTATATATATTGTGATAGTGACAGTGAGCTCATAACTCGCGAGGCTAGGTCACTTACTCCAGTGGACGGTATATCCAAAGATATCTGATATAAATGTCTTGAATGCACATGTCAGAAAGGATACCGCTTCGGTGTCAAAATCTTTGGCGGATCAGTTCAAAAATCGAACCTCCTTACCGAAACAACCCCAAATGGAGAGAGGTCGGCCAGGATATTGTTGACCTTTGTTCGAAAGTGAACGGTTGTCTTGCTCATCCTTCACTCCACAATTGCGGCAAAACGCCAGAGTCGACAAAAGTCTCCGCACGATACTAACAACCTCTTCACATACCCCCTCAAGCCGACATATCTAATCCCCCTCTCTCTCTGGTCCAATCCCGTCGAAACAGCACGTTTCGGATGACCGTTAAAACAACAACAACGCCAGAGGCTGAATGGATTTATCGAGGCCCCTAAACATACCTGGCTGTAGTTCCAGATACTGTAAGAAAGGATTTCAACAGCTCTTTGACTGTCACTTCTTCATCGAACAGCTCTTAACTAAATCGACCCTGTTGTGATAGAAGCACATCTTGCTTTAATAATTATTTTTAGCATAATTTTTACGTCTGAACTACTATAATTTCAATATTACTACTGTAGACACCCATTATTAAGGTTTAATTTAAGCTTAGCACCCAGATGTCGCCCCGATTGGAGAAAAAACTCTACATTCCACTGAACTGTCATTGCATAAACACAGCAAAGCGAACTGTCAAAATTCGATTTACATCCGGCTGTGCCGTCGTCTTCCTTTCCTTTTTACCTATTTTGACAAGATGGTAGGTGGTGTAAAAGTTGCCGGGGAAATTCACTTCCATCGTACGTTTTGCATTTAAGAATTTTTTCAAGAATCTGCAAAGTTATGCGAAATAGTTTTTCACATTGTATTTGTTATTATTTCATTAATTTATTGAGTGGCTGATATAGCTGACAAATATTTTGTTTTCAATATATTTGTTGTTTGGTTCTGTAGTGAAATTGCAAATTCTTGCGTATTTGGTGGTGAAGCCTTCGGCTAAAAGTTTTATAATATGAAATGTGATTATTAAAAGTGTATTGAAATTACAGGCGCGAGGTCCTAAGAAGCATTTGAAGCGTTTAGCAGCACCCAAGGCATGGATGTTGGACAAATTGGGAGGAGTGTTTGCTCCTCGTCCATCCAGTGGCCCACACAAATTGAGGGAATCATTGCCCTTGATGATTTTCTTGAGAAATCGTCTAAAGTATGCTTTGAACGGTGCTGAGGTAACCAAAATTGTTATGCAGCGTTTGATTAAGGTTGACGGCAAAGTCCGTACCGACCCAACATATCCAGCTGGCTTCATGGGTAATCAAAAACATTAGATCTTTAATTTATATGAGAGTCTCGTATAACTGATTGTCTATCTTTATACTACAGATGTCATCACCATTGAAAAAACTGGAGAATTCTTCCGTTTGGTGTACGATGTTAAGGGACGTTTCACCATCCACCGTATTTCTGCTGAGGAAGCCAAGGTATGTATAGTGGTATACGCGTTAATACTTGAAAACTAAATTGGCTTGATCGAAGACCATGTTATGATCTCAAAAATATATGTGGTTCAAAAGTAAGCCAAAAGCAATTTTTGTTACGACGGTCACCGAATATCTTAATTTTTTTGATACTTTGGTAACATTTACGTGCAATTACAAGAATAATTAAAAAATGTTATTATGTACTTTTCATTAATGCGTTGAATAGTGGATTAATTGTTTTTTTTTTTTTTTGTAGTACAAATTGTGCAAGGTCCGCAAGACACAGCTCGGTGCCAAGGGTGTGCCATTTGTTGTCACACACGATGGCCGCACCATCCGTTATCCTGATCCTCTCATCAAGGCAAACGATACTGTTCAAGTTGATATTGCCACCGGCAAAATCACCGACTACATCAAGTTCGATTCGGGTAAAATACACACACAAATATGTAATTTTAATATGGTTTTAAATCACATTTTTTATTTTTTTATTTTAGGTAACCTCTGCATGATCACTGGAGGTAGAAATTTGGGTCGTGTCGGTACCGTTGTCAACCGTGAAAGACATCCTGGTTCCTTCGACATCGTTCACGTTAAGGACTCGCAAGGTCATGTGTTTGCCACCAGATTGACAAACGTTTTCATCATCGGCAAGGGTAACAAGCCTTACATTTCATTGCCTAAGGGCAAGGGTGTTAAATTGAGCATTGCTGAGGAACGTGACAAGCGTTTGGCTGCCAAAACCCATTAAATAGTTATTTAAGTCTGATTTCTAACTGCAGAAAATTAATAATTCAAAATAAACGGAAATCACTATAGAATAACCTAGTAAATTTGTTTATTTGTATTTGAACGAAATTAAGTTCGTTGGATATGGTTTGCTATGTTTTAAGAATTTTATATGAAGACGGCTGCAAACAGTTATTTACTTAAAAATTTCACGCACCATCGACTTAGGAGCGTTTTACTAAGGCTGGGCACAATGTTGAGCCATTAAAAACGTTGTATCTAGATATTTTAAAACTTGAAAAAATTCTAATAACAATTTGCAGTGTCCTTTCTTCAAACCTTTCGTTTGTCAGCGCTACCGGAAACAGTCACAGGGTGATGTGTATTTTTAATTATATTTTCCTAAAGTCGTGCGTATACGAGTATGTGTTTGACAAAAAAGGAAACAGTCGTTTTGGAAGTTTTTTCAACGAGAGCAGTATAGAATTTATCTATCTAACTTGTCCTTCCTATACTGAAGACAATCTTAGCTTGGTACCCGAATTCTAGTGAAATATACACATGCCCAAACAATATATTTACAGACCTATTCTGTCAGGGTAACAAAATTTACCTAGCTATTAAAATTTACCATTCACAGGCCTATTCTGTCGAGGTAACAAAATTTACCTAGGTATTCAAATTTACCATTCAGTAAATTTTGTTACCATTTCGTATTCTGAGCGCACAGTTACCCTGTAAATTTTGCTACCAGGGAAATAGGAGGTACCAGAAATATCTGCTGTTTGATTTTGTGTTGTAAGTTTGAGAAAAAATAATACCCACATTTTTTAGGCATATTTAGGCCTGGACTCGTGAAGATGAAGAAAAAAGTGCAAAAAGCCGTATTTTAAGAAGTTTTCGAGACTAAAAAATAGTCCTTTAATTTGTAAGATAACGTTTTCATTTAGCTTTTTTTGTTGTCCAGGCATATATTCTATAATTAGGTTCAAATATTTACGATTTAATAAACACATAAATAAAAGTTATTTATTTTCAAGTGCACCGTCTTCTATTTCGATGTGAATATTATTGTTTTTTACTATAGCAACTGGCAAACGTAATTTGACAAGGACGAAAAAAGCAATGCTGCCCAAGTTATTTTAAACATTGTAACCAGTTCGCCAGAATACCAAATTCAATTTCGGGTGTTAAAAAAAAAAGTAATAAAATTTACTTTACCGGTAACAGCGAGAATAGGCCTGTAAATCTCTTTTCAAATAAAAAAATCTAAGGAAAAACAAAATCCTTTTAGATACTTATACGTATTTATTTTATTTATTTTTATTTACAACGGCCTTTATGAGCTGAAAATGAAAGATCTTGAGTATCGTTTGCGAATATCCACGCTGTATCAGGACAATTATTGTAGTTGAAATATATAAGTATATATATATATATATATGTACATATGTAATATATGTATATATATTTAAAAGTTCTGAAATTTTTATATAACACAGACATTTTAAATACTATGTACTTATAAAATTTCAGATTATATTTTTCGATTTTTCATACCACTTTATGTTCGACCAAAGGTGTAGTAGTTTTCATTACAATTTTAAGTACTGAACTGGAAAACTTCGGTTTTTCATGTAATGAATATGTGATACATCGTGTTGAAAGGTCCTTTCACAAATGTTCATACATACATACGTAATTATACATATACCTATGTGTGTACATATGTATGTAGATGACATTTCTTTTAAACTAACTACAAATACGTAAAAGATGATACAAAAATGATGAATGAGCGTATTTAACTAAAATTTCTTTCATTTACGAGTATCTTAACATTATTCACGATTTCTGTGAACTCCGTTTTGTGACTAATTTTCCGGAATCTCGACTATTAATGACTTCAGCATGGAATCCAGTCTCCCAATCGGCATAATATTTGACAGTGCGCACATTACCATCGGGCTCCACAAGAGAGTATTCACCTTTTACCACGTCACCATCACGCTCCTCCTTCTGATGTTTTATATCGCCTGTATAGGGATCGTTAACACCATATTCGAACGCATATCTGGCATGGTCACTCTGAAATGAATTTTACAAAAAATATTTACTTTCGAAAATTATATAAAAGAACTTAAATACACACATAATGTTCGTAGTGTTTTTCTGGTATCGTTTTGATGACAGCCGGTTGTATTTTTAGCGCTGGTTGTGTTCTCAAATATGCTGTAGGACTGGCACTTTTCGTTATTAAAGGCGAAACTGATGGCGCATATCTATAAAGACCAGCACCCAATGGTCCGATGCCACCGATTCCATGCGCATAGCCATTAAGTGGCTCAGCCTGACCACTAAGTAGCTGTAAGCTCGGCTGGGCGCCGAGTTTTAAGGGCGCAATACTTAAGCCGCTGCCGCTAAGTCCATGCAAACCAGTTGGTCCTAATCCACCGCCAAGTTTCAAGATCGGTGACTGTCCGGCGTGGCCTAATGAGATTGCGCCATAATATGAGCCATGAGCCAGAGCAGAAGTTGGATAGCCAGCTGGTGGTCAAAATTAAATATTAATACATACATAGTTCGTTTCCAGTATTAAAATTGATTTCAATTTATAAAGAAATAAAAGAGACTCAGGTTGATTAACGTATTGAGGGAAATTAATAAACGAAGCTTATATGCTAGCCCAAGCTAATGCTTTCAACTTATTACTGGCTACATGGTAACCTCCAAGAGGAAAGTAAAGCAAACATTTAATAAATTCTCTAACTAAAAACATGAAAAAAAGTTTCACTATTTATAAATCAATTCTCTAAAAACTTGCCAAAACAATTTCTTAAAATTATTAACAGTTTTCTAATTCTCTAATCTTTGCTATAAGCTTTGAACTAAATGTTTATTTTGACATCTCACCGCGATTTTGTTGACGTAAGTCAAAATTTAAAGAGGTTTACAGAATTAAAAGCATCCGTCATTCTAAGACTAAGCAAGCAAAGGCAAAGATATTTGCAAATTTTTGATACATAGGACCGAGGTTATTAGTAATAAATAAAAAAAATATAAGAATATAATCCTTATTTTGTCAGTCCACATATTTTTATATTATCTCCTCCCACATTTACTTTCCCAATCACATAAAAGGGCCAACAACCAAGTGTTGCATATGCCAAAATAGTCGCTTCAAATGCAGATAGTTTTCTTTTATCAATGACTATTTCGATATTTTTGTAAGCTAATCTAGTTTAAATAAAATTGCATTTTTTAAAGCTCATTCTATTTACTTATGGCTTGGTTAGTAAAGAATATTAAGCGTAGGGTTAGGCATCAACAAGAGCATCTAGATCTAGGTCACGGTCACTGGGAAAGCTAGTTCAAGCTAGGATGTGTTATATTTTTGCAAGGATAATCAGGCACACGACCATATTTTACTTGAGATAAGCGGTGTTGAAGCAGAATAACTGTAACTAGATTTGCCCGATACTGGAAGCGCCAAATTGCTAGTTATAGTAATTGGCTGTTGTTGTAGAATCGCCGCATCGGATACGTATTTACCCAAACTAATTCCGCCTGGTGATGTATGAGTTGTATACGAAGTAATACCTGCTTTACCAGAAATACCAGAGTATTGTTGAGATATTGCACCGCCAGCGGTTAGTTTGGCCAAGCCAGTGCTTGCATGAATCGTTGAGGCTAAAGCTGGAGAGGCATAACCTCCTATACTGGCTACCGCAGGGGTAGATACAACAGATGCGATGGCTGGTGATGCGTAAGAAGCTACTTTGCCTACTGCAATAGCAGGAGCCTGTTGTAGTATTGGTTGTCTCGAAACATATTGCTGGGAAATAGATCCACTGGAACCGTATTTTGCAAATCCCGTGCTCGATTGTATAGATGTTACGCCGGGAGCTGGATAACCCGTTGACTTTGTTATGCCGAGTACAGGTGCAAGGTAACCTTTAGCGCCACTTATGGCTGGTGTGGTTAGTGTAGCAGCTTGTGTTGCAAAGAGCAAGGATTGTGCCGGTTTCGAAACTTGTTGATGAGAAATGGCGCCACCACCTAATGATGCGTAACTGGTGGCACCATGGGACACATCTAGACCAGACGAATAATGCGCAACGGCGGGCGTAGCTACCGCTGAGACTTTTGCCAAGGGCGCCGATGCGTAACTTACTGTTTGTACTGGCTTGGAGACGTATTGATGTGAAATTGCGCCACCACTTGAATATTTTAGGGATTGAGAACTCGATTGGAGTGATGATAAGCCGGAGCCTGTAGAATATTGCGTGAGAACTGGCGCGACCTTCGTTATCGCAGGAGTTGCCAAGGCCAATGGCTGCAAAGGTTGAGAAACTTGTTGATGTGAAATAGCTCCACTTGAGATGCCGTGCCCTGCAGAATATTGCGTGACTGTGGGCGCCGCGTAGACTCCTACTTTTGTAACGGTGGGTACTGCAACGGCTGGCGTAGGAAGTGCTGCTACTTTTGCCAAGGGTGCCGAGGCATAACTTACGGTTTGAACGGGCTTAGACACGTACTGATGGGAGACTGCGCCACTGCTGGCATATTTTATTGACTGAGAGCCCGAATGCAAGGAAGATAAGCCCAATCCCGAAGTATATTGCGTAAGTGCTGGTGCAGCGATTGGCGCGACAGCAGCGACTTTAGTTAAAGATGTTAGCGCCGCACCCGATGGATATGAAGCCACGATAGGTGTTATAGCTGGCGCTACGGCAGCAAGCTTCGCGACAGCTGGAGCTGTATAAGTGACGGGCTGTAAGGGTTTTGAGACGTATTGATGGGAAAGTGCACCGCCCGATATGCCGTAACCAGAAGAATAAGGTGAAATGACTGGTGCAGGTGCAGCGTACGTAGAGACTTTAGCGACAGCTGGTACAGGAAGTGTTGAGACTTTAGCTAGTGGCGCGGGCGCATAGCTTACCGTTTGCAAGGGTTTGGACACATACTGATGAGATACTGCGCCACCACCTGCGTATTTCACTGATTGCGAACCAGTGTGTATAGATGATAATCCAGAGCCCGCGGTATATTGGGTGAGAGCAGGAGCTGCAATTGATGTTACGGCGCCGACTTTGGCAATGGCAGGAGCTGAATATGTTACGGTTTGTATAGGCTTAGAAACCTGTTGATGTGATACCGCACCAGAAGCGCCGTAAGATGAATAACTGCCGCCAGAAATCGACGACAAGGCTGGAGCAGCATAATTTAAAGCGACAGTAGGTACAGACACTGGCGCTACTTTAGCAACAGGAGCGGCGGCATAACTTACAGACTGCAAAGGTTTCGAGACGTATTGATGGGAAATAGCACCACTGCTGCCGTACTTGAGTGACTGACCATCCGCTTGGATAGAAGTTAGAGCTGGCTGCAGGATAGGTGAAACTGCCGCTACTTTAGAAATCGCCGGGGCGGTATAGGTTAGTGCCTGCACAGGCCTGGAAACTTGTTGATGAGAAATCGCCCCACTGGAAATACCGTGAGCGGAAGAATACTGGGTAACGCCATGCTGTGAGACTCCCAATCCAGAGGTGTATTGCGTAATTGAAGGCGTGGCCGGTAGTACAGCAGCGGGTAGTTTGGCTACAGGTGCTGTTGCATAGCTTACAGTCTGCAATGGTTTTGAAACATATTGATGTGATACCGCGCCTCCACTGGCAAACTTAACAGATTGAGATCCCGCATGAATAGATGATAAGCCAGAACCTGTTGAGTATTGCGTAATAGCAGGTGTAACTACTGGTGCGACTGCGGCGACCTTCGCAATCGCGGGAGCGGAATATATCACCGGTTGTAAGGGCTTGGAGACTTGCTGATGTGAAATTGCGCCACTGGAAATACCATGACCTGTAGAATATTGTGCAATGCCGAGACCTGATGAATACTGAGTAACTGCTGGAGCAGGGTATGCAGCTACTTTAGCAACGGCTGGAATTGAAACTGCTGGTATCTTTGCTACAGGTGCCGCGGCATAGCTCACTGTCTGCAGTGGTTTTGAGACATACTGATGGGATACTGCTCCACCGCCCACATATTTAATAGACTGAGATCCTGGTTGAATAGATGAAACAGCAGGGGACGCGTAACTGGCTATCTTGGGTAAGAGTGGCGCGGACGCGTACTGACTAACCGCCGGCGTTATCAATGGGGTTGCTAAAGCAGCAACTTTAGGCGCACTGGGAGTTAAATAGCTGACCGATTGAAGTGGCTTGGAAACGGACTGATGAGAAACAGCGCCACCAGAGCTATATGAAAGGCCGCTACCGCCTGCATATAGACTACCGCCAATAGCCGGCGCAACAAGTGTTGAGATTTTGGGTAAAGCCGGAGCCGCGTAGCTAATTTGCTGTATCGGTTTCGATATATACTGTTGTGACAACGCGCCGCTTGCACTACCCTTAGACAAACCGGCAGATGAAGTCAGATATTGGGTTTGGTAACCACCTAATTTCAAATCCGACGAATATCCCAATGAGGTCGGTGCACTTGAGATATATGCGCTTGATAGCTGCGGTGCGTAAGAGTATGAGCCAAGTGGCGTCAACGATTTTCCGCTCAACAAATTACCATCCAATTTCGTAAGGCTTGCGGAAGATACGGCGCCTGATAATTTCTGTGTGTATGGCGCGCCATAGGTGACTGCTGGTGTAGGCACATAGGCAGTAGTTTTTGAAATTTGGGGACTTGATTGGTAGTATGAGTATTCAGAGGATTCATATCCAGCACTTTTTGAGAGGGTGTTCGGTAATGTCACATAAGATTTCGTTAATCCAGTCAGTTTTGTTTCGGCAGGAGGCAGATATGCATTCGATATGCTCTCTTCTTTTGGGGGCAATAGCACAGTTTTGGAAATAGCTGGCGTAAGTAGATTCTTCAATTGGATTTCAGGTTGAATCAAGCCCGATGTTTTCAGTGGCTGATCTGCGTATATGACACCACCTCCCTTTGATGATGACGCGCTCTCATAGTACGATTCGGAGGACTTTACTGTATTAACATCGAGATATCCACCGTCAGGCAATTTGTATTTGGCTCTTGCAGGCGATACTGATAGTTGCACTTTTGGTGGTGGGTAAGCATAACCGCCGGACGCAGCAAGTATACAGTCCGGTATGGCGATCGGGTTCGAACTAGCCCACACTGTGCTGCATAGGCACAATAATGCTAACGGTATCTGAAAAGAAAATAGTTGTATGTATTTGTGGATGTCTAAAAGGTGAGTTGTGTAATGAATTTAAAAAACGTCTCATCGAAGGAAATTAATTTCTGTGAATGTATCGGAGGCGGTCAATGGAATAAGTGTCGACAATGCTTTCCGGCGGATATGAGGAAGAATACCATTATAACCTTTCTAATAATTATGAGCTGGAGGATAACAAAGACTTTGAATTTAAGATAAATTGGAGAACTATTATACTCGGATAAGGAGCATTTTCAGGCACATTTTTTGTAAAAAGGGGTCAACCTCTGTTATTATCGCCACTATAAGAAAGCCTTGCTTGAAGCGGCTGGCCTTCGCCGGAGCTCGAAACATAGTTGATTTGTTTATCAAGTGCGAGTTAATCTGATTGTAGTTGAAGCAAGTTACGTCTCCAGCAAGAGAACAGCCCATGATGCAACGTTGCGATCAGAGGAAGCAAAGCGGTCTCTTTAATAGATTGAAGACTTTAGTCAACAATTTGAATTTATTAGAGCAGATTTTTAGGCCTAAATCACTCGACGCCCTGGCGCATACGTCTAGAGCTTACATAAAAAGATCTGAGGTAAATATCGGCGCACACTTCGTTGACTTTGAAGACGACATTACCAACATTAAACAAGCTAAAAGTTATTTCTCCCCTTTCACACAAGTAGGGTCATTCAGTAGGGTCAGGTTGATAGATATTTCCAGGTCAATTGAATTGTTACCGTATTTCGAAATCACTTTGTCAAGGACCTTTATCGGGACCACTTATTTATATATAATTGGCGCTTTATAGCCGCTGAAGCGATTTTTTTCAGCCGAGCTCCTCATCCAATTTGTGGTTTTGCGTCTTGAAATTTTTATAACAAATGAAGGTATCTACAGTTTTTACTAAGCCGCCTTAGAACGGCTGATGGTTTTCATGTGGATCTTTATTTCATGTCCAAAATATACTCGGAAGGGTAGACGTACCCTGCCGAATGGAGACCGCAATTCGAAAATTTAACTTAATTTTTATTTTAATTAATTGTCAACAACTTTTGGTTGGTGGTGGCACCGGGATATGAGCCCGAGCCTTCCGAATGTCAGTACGCAATGCTAATCACTCGGCTAGCGCCGCCGTCGAGACCACTCAAATTCACCAAAAAAAGTGAACTTGGAAGTAAAAACTCACGAAATATAACGAGATAAAGTAGAAGAACTTCAAAGGACCGGATATGTCGAGGACTATGCTAAATAGTTAGAACCAGAGTGCGAAAAACGGATATAAACCTGTACAAAAGTACGAGTATAAGTGTAATTGAGTGGGTATTGGGTCATCTGGGGGATTACCGAAATATGAGATTATCGCGGCAAAAAGAGTAGACACTCCATGGTTATGGGTGATTTTATCTCACAAAACTTGTGAGATTTTAGGTGCTAGAATATAAGGTTATAGTTGCTTTCATGGATCCGCGACACCAATGCTCGGACTTAGGTTAAGAAATCTCAAGAAATTGGCACAAAAATGTACAGGTTGTGCGCTTTAAAAAGGATATAAAAATATATATGTATTATGTAGCACAGTAGGACTTTAGATTTTTTTTACAGTGCTCGATTCGGAAATACAGCAAAAATACACAGATTTCTTTATTGTACATTTTGAGTAAAAACTGCATGTCCTTAAGGCATGTCCTTGCACACTTTGTGTTTTACTTTCTCATTCCTTTTGATAAAATTATGAATGCGCTGCAGACAAGAATTTTCTGGATATATTTGGATTAATAATTTTAACAGAATATCATTCATAATTTTTTCCTTAAATTTGTTGTTGTTTTATTTCAAGAAACTTTTTAAGGCTGCTAGTGCTAATTAGATCCACACATATTTCTCCAGTCTCTACAATGGTTCATTTCAAAGACACTATTTAATCAATTGTTCATTTACTTTAAAAATATATATATATAAATAATATATATATAAATATATATATATATATTGTAACTGTATGTACATTAAGCTGTGAACAATAAACGCGACCATTAATGGCTATTGTGCCAGTCAGCCAATTATTTTTCCCCTGAATTATGAAATTTAGGGGATCGCAGCTACAGCTCCATTCGTTTTTAGCACCATTTTTATCAACACTCACCTTCATGCCTTATTCTTTTGATGTATAGATATTTTTTAATTAAAATTGTTAACTTGCACTAATATTTGTTTCTGAGTAGTCTGCGATTTAGCTACATATTTATGAGGTCCTTTTTAGAACTGTACAGTCACTGATACACTTCGGCACTTATTATGTAATTTAATCCTTTATTTATATACACATAATATATATATGTATATGATAGTATCCAAGTTAGGTAAATGCTGATGTCTGATGATGATGATGTTGTTGAGTCGCACGCGCGCGAATCCTTTCGATGGGCGTTAACGGTATAGAATATGTAATTTGTGCTCCGACGAATTGGAGCGTCGCGAAACACTACCAGCAAGCCAGGCCCTATTGTCGTTTATATACGGTCAAATGTGGTCCGCAAACTACGATCGCACACAGCATCAGCATCAGCTGCAGCATCAGCTTCAGCTTCAGCAGCGGTGGCAGTAGCAGAGCACAGAGTGACAGTGGCTGCTGCAACGATGACTGTGGCGGCGGCGGCAGTGGCAACAAAAATTGACAAGTTATCCAAAAAGGCTGTGACAACTAGTGCGAGATTGTAAATAAATATACATATATTCATGTATAAACGCACGCATACACACCTGCATACATACATGCATACAAACAGACAGCCAATGACTGCATAATGGCATGAATCAAAATTATGAATTCGCAAAAAAAGCGAAGCATGTGCCAAAAAGCTTGGTGGAGAACTCAACAACAATAACTACAACTACAATTGGTGCGTCTACAACTAAATATTTGTTGCGCCGACGCAATGCACTTTGCAGCAGCTTTTGATCGTTTGTTTATTGGCGTTGTCGCCGTCTAAGCTAAGCACATAAAGACTTTGTTACAGTTTGTTGGTTTGACTTGGTTTTGGTTTATGTTCTCTGCGTACCGCATAGAAAAATAGGAAAAACTAAAATTGAAAAAAAAAAAAAACAAAACGAGTGCACGATTTTTCGGCAACTGAACATGCGTAGTTGCAGCGCTGATACGGCGGCGTTGCATAGTGAGTTTTTTCTTCGTGTATTTGTTGTTGTTTTTGGAGGCAAGTTTTGAGATTTTCGCGTATCGAGCGCATGCCCCACCTTCACGAATACTAACGCACATATATACGCATGTGTATATAATTGTATGTATATACATACATACACGTATGTATGCACATGTGAAAATGCTTTGAGCTGATATGCTCGTACGCATATAAAACTACCTAGGCTCAGATTAAAATACATACATACACATGCATTTACCTGCATAGACCGTCATTTATATGCAAGTACACATGCACTTACACACATAATTATTTTCTAGGAGCGTTTTCTTGCACAAAACTAATTAGAAAAATGTCAATAACACAAAGAATGCATAATTTGTTGAGAATTAAATTTAACGGCGTTCATACATAGTTAAATTCAAATAAAATGAAATTCGAAAGAAACAAATAAAATAAATTAAATTAAATTGAATCAAATAAAATAATTTATAATAAAAAAAAAATTAAATAAAAAGCTTAAACGAAATTAAAACCTTAAAACAATAAATAAATAATAACAAAACCGAATAAAATAAAGCAATATAGAATCAAATAATATAAAATAAAGTAAAATTAAATAAAGTAATATTAAACAAAATAAAATAAAATAAAAAACCCAAAAGAAAAACTTAAAAAAAAATTAAATAAATAATAACAATATAGATTAAAATAAGTCAGAATAAAATAAAGGAAAATAACATAAATAAATATAATATCAAAATAACAAAAAATAATATAACAAAATAAAATAAAATAAAAAACCCAAAATAAAAACTAAAAAAAGAATGAAATAATTAATAAAAACAAAATAGATTAAAATATCTTAGAACCAAATAAATTAAAATAATATAAAACAAAACAATAGAAAATAAAATAAAATAAAAAACCAAAAATAAAAACTTAAAAAAATTAAATAAGATATTACAAAACAGATTAAGATAAGTCAGAATAACATAAAAGAAAATAATATAAATTAAACAAATATCAAAATAATAAAAAATAATATAACAAAATAAAATTAAAATAAATAAATAAAAATAAAAAAAAAATCAAAATAAAATTAAAAAACAAAATAAAATAAAAAATATAATAAAATAAAATATAAAAAAAAAACTAAAATCATGTGAACCAAAAAAAAAAAATGTAAAACTTGAGCAAAATAAAATCTCTCATAAACGGCATAAAAGGTCAGAGTGTTAGTGTTAGTGGCGGGCGTGATTTCATTTTACATTCTATTACAATTCACAGGGTTTCACTTAAATATTGTCTTCGTGAGGTCATCGGTCGCTATTTTAAATAATTTTTCATAATGTTATTCTTTATTGTTTGCCTGAGATTTCATAGTTCGGGCAAAGTTGACATAAACTAATAGAAAAGTCTTGAATGATTATAGGATTTTACAAGGAATATTTATCATATATACAAAAAGCTTTATGGCTGATGGTTTTTAACAATAAATTCTCTCTTTCCTTTGCTTTGTTTTGAAAAATTTGAAAAAAAAAAAAACATTGACAGCAAAGGAGCAGTAGCAGTTTAATTGGAATAAACCAATTATATTATTATAATTTATGCTATGTATATATGCGTAAGTACACATAAACGTTAATTAATTTAGAAATCGCATAAAGAGAGTGTGTAAATATGTATGTTATATGTAAATATGTTATATGCATCCTGGTCAGGCTAAACTAATTTACTTTATAGTCACAATCTCAAATTAATTCAAACCAAATTTGTATGCACTACACACATGCATGCGTGCATAAATTTTTGTATGTCTGTACATATGTATGTAGTCCAAAAGTCTATAAAAATTTATTTAAGTGCAAAATGCTGGAATATTTTCGCTCATACTTTACTGGTGTTATCTTTTTGGGATAACAAAATTTATGTATGCATGTTTAAATAATAGTGCTGCCTAATAACCATACATACATACAAATATGCGTATCTACTTTTGAACTTATGATCTCATAGTTGCACGGCAAACAAACATTGATACTTACATATATGTATATAAAACATACACATACACATATTAGCTAGATGCATTTTTCGCGCTTTTATGTATACATATGGCTTCATTCATGTATGTATGTATGTATGCATATAAGTATGCCTATGTGTGTTTCTGTTACGAATTTACTGCTATAAATTTCAATAAAAAAAAATACATTAAACTAATACGAAATTTCGTCATGCAAATCGATATATGTAGGTATATTTATGTGAATATGTAATTTGGTTGACGTTGGTCTGTTTTAGCTGGTCTAAACGCACATACATGCGTGTGTGTGTGTGTGTGTGTGTTCGTGCGTTTATGTTTGCATGCTTCAGTTTCATAGGCCGAGAGTGTGAGATAAATCGAGTTACATACAAAAAGTTGCTATAAAGTACGACTGACAATTCAGTTCATAGTCTTACATAATGAGAGATGCAGTTTACTCCACCTCCTCCGGCGTAAACGCTTTTTCACATAGTTGTTGTTGCGCGAGGCACTAAGCTGAGGCACAGGCACAGGCACATGCACAGGCACAGGCGCAGGCACAGGCGCAGGCGCGTATGCGTGCGTGTGTCAACTAAAACCACGCCAAGGCATGTTGGACTGCGTACTAAAGCCAACAGCAGCAGCCACCAACACCACCGCGAGCGGCTACCATTCACCATCCAAAAGCCAGCATTAAGCACACTAAGCTCCAAGCCAAATGGCATGTAAATCGAATTGAGAGTTGGAAATGTACTGAACCGAAATGAACCGTACTGAACTAAACTCGTTCAAATGTAGGTTATTCGCACTTTTTATTTAGTTTATTTCGAATGGAAAACAGAAATTAAAATTCAATCAAATTGCAAAACAACGCATTGCAGGACACTGAACTGCACTCACTCACGCACTCACTCACTAACTGGCTCGCTCGCTCGCTCGATAGCTTGCTCACCGCCATTCCGATGTGCGGGCACGTATGCTTATTTTCATGTTGTCATCGTTATTGTTGCTGTTGTTGCTGTGTTCGTCTTGTAGGTACGCAGAATATGTTTGACGAGAAAAAATTGCTATGAATCTGTCGTAGTTATCTGCTTGGTCGCATAAACCTAATTCAAGCTGTTAGGTGTTACCTGAGCAATATGCAATAATATACATACAAACATACATATGTAAACGTATGTAGATATATTGAATATGGATATATTTCCACGCCTGAGTACGCATGTTACGTAGTAGGCCTAAGCGTTTCTAATCTGAAGGAGCACTGGCCAACTGGATTGACGTCGGCGCTGGCAGAGTTGGTAGCGTCGACGAGGAATTATAAAACGTGTTTATATTCAATTAACGTCTAAAATGAATAAGCAAATGAAATCGATATTCAATTCGCATTCAAGCGAAATAACTAATTTTTCTTTAGACAATATCTTAATATGTGTATCACGGTATTCAATTGCAATTTGGCATTTTATTTTATTTTATTTTTTTGTTTTTTTTTCCTTTTTTATTTTGGTGGTTTTAGTTAAATTACAAGATTTGTGTGTTTTTAAGCTGCGCGCAAATATTTAGGAATGTTAAATACTTATTTACAGAGAATTGGATTTATTTATGTTATGTTCTTTGAGATCATACGCAATATGCATACACACATTGTACATATTGTATGTATGTATGCGCAGAAGCAGTTTATTTGACCACGACCGGATTCCTTTTCGCCTTTCCTTTCACTTCAAAAATATTATTTAGCAACTTTGTCCGCATATACGTGTATGTAGATGTATGTATATACGTAGATATGAATATGATTCTTCTTACGAATTTCCGTAATCTGCAGTATTGATTTTTTTTACTTCCAAATTCTGCTTAAGCTGGCGCCGTTCGATTTTTCAGTCTGTCTCACCGATAAGAAAAGATTCAATCTGTTCATTAACGATTGACATTAATCTGTCACACAACAAATTTGATGGGATCCTGAGAAGGTTTAAGTGAGCGACAGTATTTTTGGAATAAGCAACTTTTTTTCCAAAATAAACACGCTACGAGCCGTGAGCCAATTGGTATAGCAACAGAGATCTTCAGCACAGAAATCTAGGTATTACTCTCTAACTCGAGTCTCTGAGTCCCTCATCGTTCCCGTCCTGCTATATGGTGCATGGACGATGACCACATCTCATGAGTCGGCTGACCAATTAGAGAATGACCTGGCTGTACTTGTTATTTCCCATAGGCGGCAAACAGCAAAAGGAAGAAACGCAATGTTGTTAAATTGGCTATAGTCGCGTAAGCGATATCTACACTAGTAAAATAAGTAAGTA